CTCTTTGGAAAACACCATTTTACAAAGAGAGAGCCTCACAGTTTAAACAGTCGAGTTTCACCCTGCAGCTACTGCCAGGAAATTAATCATAAAAGCTCAAATCACCAAAAATGAACAAAGCAGTCATGTTGAAGACCCACCTGGATGCTGAGGTTGGGGACCTGTTCCTTCCCCTTCCCAGGTGTGCGGGACCAGCCAGGGGACGGACGCTCCTGGAAAACTGGGAGAACGGCAGGGAGGTGCCGGTGGCTGAAACAGGAAGTCTGTGCTTGGCCACACGCAGCAAGGGCTGGGCTTCAGAGGAAAGAAAAGTGAAAGTATTTTGAGCAGATCGCGCAGGAAACTGAAAACAGTGCCTGCAGCGTCCCTCCACCCCTGGAAACTGGTGAGATTCCTAGGGTACCCGGAGGCTCGAGCTGGGGGAGGGGTGCTGCCCATAGAGACCAGCCCCAGAGGGGTGTGCGGAGGGGAGGAGGCATAGGGGTGCAGCCCCAGGGTCCACAGGGAAGTGAGAAGCCACCATGTGTCCGCTTCCCTCCCCACCGCGATCCTTTCTGTCCTCCTTCTCTACTTTTTGGGGTGATGAACATGTTCTAAAACTGGATTGTGGTGATAGTGGTAGTGATACAACTGAATAAATTTACTAGAAACCATCAAACTAAAAAACAAATGAGATATTAAAGGGGCGGGGAGGTGACTCAGCAATGTCTATGATTTGTCAGGGTAAATTTATTACCTAAGAAAACTGAACTAAAGGGAACCTGAATATAAGCTGATCCCAGGCAGAGGTAGGCAGATCTCCGGGCAGGGAAGTGGCTGGGAGCCAGGCAGGCAGCTGGAAGCCGGCACAGTGTGAAAGGCAGGTCCAAGGCAGAGCCAGGGCCAGAAGATTCTAGAACAGCTGCTCCAAGGGGGTGGGGACTATCCCCTGACACACACCTCTTTTGAAGATTCCTAACGTACATTGGCATGTAGGGTCTGTGAGCAATCCTAAAATATAGAAGTCTGTTTAACGTTATTTAAATCAGTAATTCTCAAATGTGTTTGACCCACGGGTTTTCCCTACAAGGGCAACCGACCATAAGCCCCTCAGAAAAGAGTTGGGAAACATGATTCTAGGGTTGAAGACGCCTTCCACACTTCCCATACAGGCACCAACACAGCGTATCACAGCCGAGCATATACCCGAGTAGCAGGCCTGCCCTGGCAGGCAGGGCACCACGATGGGGAACGACAGAGGTGTGGAAGCCACAGGACATCAACAGTAACGAAGGGAGGTACAGGAAAAAATGTGATGCTAACAGCTGAGGAGAGAGAGGGCACAGGGGTGCCTCAGCACTCGTAACACACAGCACTGTAAAATGCAGGGGACTGTAAGAGGGATTAGGACTCTTTTATGCAACGGTCACACTTCATTTACCTGAAGCCCTTCACGGAACCTGGAAAATCCCTTCATGAACATCATTGGAGCCTGGATGCTAGAACCTCCTGCTTTAGACCTGCTCAGAGATATATCAGCAAAATGCAGGGGGAGGGGAGGGGAGAGGAAAGAAAAGAAAGCAGGAGTGGGAATGTAATGTCAGATTGAAAAAAATCATTAAACTAGTAAAAGATATGAATAAGGATAAAAGATGCTTCTCTCTAGAGAGTACATGTTTGAGAGTACAGTAATGATGGGAAAATCTTACCTGTGATTTCAAGGGACATACGAGTATGTGATGAGAGTTCACTAAATTATAGGCCATTCCTTTTTAGCTCGATTTTATTAAGTATAACATGCATTCATCTAAAGTGTACATTCTGATGGGTTTTAACAAATATAAACAGAACCACAATTAAGGCGAGACCACGCCACCACCCCTGAAAGTTCCCTTGTACCCTTTGTAGGTAGTCTCCTCTGCAGCCCCCACATCAGACAAGTACGGATCTGCTTTCTGTTATGGCAAGTTCATTTTGCCTGTAGTCAAATTTTATATCAACAGGTACATATGCTATGTGCTTTTTGATGTATGGCTTCCTTTGATTGTCATAATGCTTTTGAGATTCATTCCAGTTCCTGCAGGTCAGTAATTTATTTCTCTTTAGCAGGTGGGCTGGCCATCCCTTGTTCATCCTGTCTGACCACCGTGATATCACCAATGTAATCAATCATTGTGATGTTGTATGGGATGACCAGGCGATCCAGATCTCTTTGAACTACATTGTGACAAAGGGCCGGTGAGTTATTGATACCCCAAGACAAAACTGTATACAAAAGATTATCTACCATGTGAGAACGAAACCTGTTTCAGAGCCTCCTTTCTAATCAGAGTGAGAAAAATACATTTGCCAAATCATCAGCCACACGCCATGCACCTGGGGCCAAGGGGATGACCTGGGTGAGCGAATCTTAGCGCCCAGGCTGCCTGTTTCTTATCCCAGTCCTCCAGCTTTTCCATAAATTCTGTGAGCTATCAAATGTACTTCCAGGGAATTGATTTTCTGCTGTGTAATCCAGAGTCAATTTGGTTACTGGTATCCCCAAACCTCAACTGATTGAAAAATTGGTACCAGAGAGGGAGTTGTGATCAGTCTAGGATTGGTTATCTGACCTAATTGGACATAAAAGTAGTGAACATTCATTAGTGTCCTAAGATGGGACTTTGTGAGACTTTGGCAAGCAGGGGCAAGGTAGCAAATTAGCTTAGAGCACTGGATTGTGATCAGGACTGTACAATTCATTCGCCAATTCCAAGTGTCAGATCTCAGCGCCCTTAGCAAAATATGGAGAAATCTTTAAGGTAGAAGGAAAGCATTAATTTGCTTTGAGAGAGTGTCACCTATTTGACCTAAATCTGGGTGGGAGAACAGAGGAAGGACTCAGGCCAGAATTTGCTTACCCCATGGGCCACGTGGAAGAAAAAGAAAACAACTGGACACTTGCATTAGGAGCCAGGGATAGTCTGATGGTCATAGATAGTCTTGGTCCAGCCATGCTTTATCCCAGAGAGACCGATTCTCTGATAAATGCTGAGAAAAACATGACAGTGGGAAACGGAACCTAAAATTCCAGTTCAGGGTTATCTGGGCTAATGCACAATATTGCAAAGTAGGGCTTTCTCGTAAACTTGAACAGATACCCCTTCATTCCCAGTCTTACCGCCAGTCAGCTGAGGAACACCAAAGACCTTGTGCTGATAAGCAAAAGAAACAGGCACATTTATGTCAGTGCCCAGCTCAGTGGTGGCCTGCCGCCTGGGGCAGAGAGAGAGGAAGAAGAGGCACATCCGAGTGGGCTGGGTAGTCTGTGCCAGGCCTTGTCTGGGCCACTGTGTCCCATGAAGGCCAAAACCAGAGGACAATGGTGACTAATAGAAGCTCAGCTTACCAACACCTGTGCCCCACAAAGTTGGGAGATAGAAAGGGAGGGAGGGAGAGAGGTGGTGGTGGCGGAGTGGGGGGCGGGGGAGAGAGAGAAGAGAGAGAGAGAGAGAGAGAGAGAGAGAGAGAGAGAGAGAGAGAGAGAGAGAGAGAGAGNGAGAGAGAGAGAGAGAGAGAGAGAGAGAGAGAGAGAGAGAGAGAGAGAGAGAGGCAGCACATGTGTACAACACCTGGAGGGCACACAGACCCTGCCCACTGTCCTGGAATCTGTCCTGGCCAGACTGGTGTCTACTTCTTTGGGGAAAAGAAAGAACAAAAGTGGGCAGAGACGAGGAAATCTCTTACCCACTGAACTTGGCAAACACATTTATGCAAATTTTCTAGCATGTCTATAATGAGCCTGAAGAACTAGAATTCAGTGGAACATACTTTGGAAAAATACTGCTATGTTTCTGGTTTCCCAATCATTTCTCACTGCTGTGACGGAGGCCCTGGGTGCTACAGGTACCCTGGTTCCCATTTGCCCATCTTCGACCCATCGTCCTGTCTGGATTTCGAGTTCTCCAGTTTTATCTATTCATTTTATTTACGCTTCGGTCCCATTTCTTTATCTTTCAACTTGATGCTGATAGTGTGTTTTTATAAGTTGCCTCAAATCCTTTACAGAATGAGGGTCAGGTATAAGTGAAAAAATTCTGTACAAACATAAATGTAACACACTGGCTAGCTAGCACCTCCATGTTCTTTGGCACCACCAGGTCTAAACTTTTCCTCTTCCAATGAGAAGCCTGTCGCTCTCCTCGAGGTTTCAGCCACTAGTTGAAGCTCGATGTTTTCCGTAATAACTCTGGTTGCGTTTGTCAAGTGCCTACATAGTCAAGAAAATTTGGACTTGCATGTAGGCTTCTGTGCCCAAGTTTGGCAAGTCCCTCTGATGGCAGAAGTTGAGAGAGTTCTCTCTTAACTCTGGCTGCTTTCCAGAAATTTGAAGAACATGTTCCCCAGTTTACAGTGCTGAGCATTTGGGCTCCTCCTGGCCATGTCCGAACACTGGGCCTGCCTGGTCCAGTCCAGGCTTCCTACTGTGCCCAGCCAGCCCACGGCCCGAGAGATCTGAAGTGTTTGGCTTTACGTTTTTCTCTTCGCGCCATCTCAGCAAGAGGAAGTGGCAAACATGAGGAGCACTTCCTCCCACGTAATTGTGTCACCTCACCAGAAAACATCTCTGATTCCTTTGAGTTAATGAGGCTTTTCCGTCCTCCTTTGTTAGCATGAACAAGCGCCACCCCCAACGTCTTCCGCCTAGATCTGGCCATGCTCCTCCTCCCAGGGGCTACGAACCGCCTTGGAGGTTGAGCCAAGGGACAATCAGTACGTCACTGCAGCCACATCACCCTATTAGCAATTTCACTTTTCTCTTTTCTAGCCTTTGGGTGCCACACCCGAGAGGATCCATTGATGTGCAGACGTGCAGAAGTTCTCGTCAGAGCTCTGGGAAGGCAGAGAAGCAGAGGAAGTCAAACCAAGTACGATCCTAGGCCAACTCCATGGCCCATCGGGGCCAGCAGTAGAAGATGGCAAATGGAGGCAGCGAACTGAACTGCAGGTTAGTCCTGGCCTCCTCTCTTGTCCTGCATCTCTCATAAGGTCGACAACTACTTTTGCTATTTCTGTCTACCCAGCATCATTCCACAGGGATACAATAGAATGAGATTACATATAAATACATAATGAGCAAATCGGGTTTTTAACTTTGCAGTGGGTAAGTCATGGGGGAAATTTAAGGCCACTATGATTCGCATCACCCTCTTTTTTTGCAACTGCCATGCAGCTGGGATGATGCTGTTGAAAGTCCCTGGTCCCCCTGGGGACGTGCGGCAGGGTTGAATGATCCCTTACACCCCACGAACCCTCCCATTTCCCTCACACCACCTCTTTCTCCACCTCCAAAACAGCTCTGTCCAGATAAAGTCTTCTTAGAAAAACTACTATCCATATCAAATGCCTGACTATTATTCAGCTTTTTCTAGTTTCCAGGTAGTTTGGGAACAAGTTCTGTTCAGAGCCCATCAGCGTGGTCTTGAACTGGAGAGTCAGATAAGTGCCTCTGAACTTGATAGGAGGAAGTGAAAGCAGGCAGGGCCCAAGGACAAATGCAAGCAGATGAGGAGTGAGCATTGCTTTTTTATTTTTTTATTTTTGTTTTTTAGCTGAGCCATCCTGCCACCTGTTGGCAGCTCAGTGGCAGCTCAGCTCAGGCCAGGCATCGAACCGCTGTTGCTCAGAGCTCAAACTCTTGAGCGAGCTCTTAACCAACGGAGCCACTCGGCCGGCCCCTGCTTTTATTTTTAAATTCTGGGATGTAATATACATCTGGTTAGAGAAAGATGCAAATTGTCATTTAAAAATGCAAGATAAATACATCAATACGTTCATGTTGATAAAAATTAAAGCAATATATAATTGTATGGAAACCCTTCTCACCCTGGACTCTGAGCTGGGGCTATTCCTGGCACTGGCCGGGCCCCAAGAAGGCAGAGGCATTGCCACCGGCAGCCCTTAAGCTTGATGTGTTCTCAGCACCCAACATCTTCCCTCCTGTTGGGAGAAAGCACGTCCTGACCACCGCTCCACTATGGAAAAATGAGTGAGTGGAGCTTGAAGTTCAGTCAGCCTTTGGTCTTCAGGCAGGAAAAGAAGACCACTGAAATGTGAGAGCGGGGGTAATGCTGACCTCATAGAATGAGTTGGGAGGTGTTGCCTCTGCTGCCATTTTGTGGAAAAGGTGGTAGCTTAAATGGTGCGGTAGATGCCGTCTGGGTCTGGTGCTTTTTGGGGAGAGCGCAATTAATTATCGATTCAATTCCTTTAATATACATAGGCCTATTCAGATGATCTATTTTTCCTTGTGTGTATTTGGTGTAGTTTGTGTCTTTTAAGGAATTTGTCCATTTCATCTTTTATCAAATTTTTAGGCGTAGAGTTGTCCATAGTAGTGCTACTTAACTATTCTTTTAATGTCCACAGGATGACTAGTGATGATCCCTTTTTTTTCGTTTCTGATATTAGTAACTTCTGCCTTTTGTCTTTTTTCTTTGTTTCCCTGGCTAGAGTTTTGGCAATTTTATTGACTTTTTTCTTTTTTTTTCAAGAAATCAGGTTTGGTTTCATTGATTTTTCTCTAATGTTTTCCTGGTTTCAATTTCATTGAGTTCTACTCTAATTTTTATTATTTTTTTTCCGCTTCTGCTTGCATTAAGCTTATATTTCTTTTTTTGCCTCTAGTTTCCTCAGGTGGTAGCTTAGGTTATTGATTTAGATCTTTCTTCTTTTCTAATATATAAATTTTTAACTAAATTATTGTAGTGACATTGATTAATAAAATTATATAGGTTTCATATGTACAATTCTATCATATATCTGTATATTGCACTGTGTATGCATTTTAGTGCTATACAGTTTCATATACAGTTTAGTGCTTTTGCTGTATCCAATAAATTTTGATAAGCTGTATTTTCATTTTCATTTAGTTCAAAATATTTTTAAATTTCTCTTGAGACTCCTTTTTTGATTCTAGGGGTGTGCTGTTTAATATCCAAGTATTGGATTGTCAGAAAAGTCATGACATATATTTTCAATGTTTTTCGTTGCAAAAATGCGTCATGACTTTTCCAACAACCCAGTATTTTGGGATTCTCTAGCTGTCTTTCTGTTATTTCTACTTTAATTCCATTGTTGTCTAAGAACATATTTTTTATGATTTCTATTGTTTTGGATTTTATAGGGTCTGTATTACAGGACAGAATGTGGTATATGTTGGTAAATATTCCATGTGAGCTCGAGGGATATATGTATTTGCTGTTGTTGAATAGAATATTTTATAAATGTCAATTAGATCAAATTGATTGATGGTGCTGTTCAGGTCAACTATATTCTTACTGATTTTATGGCGGCTTGATCTATCAATTACTAAAAAAGGAGCATTGAAGTTGTTGAACAAACTCAAAAAGAGCCTGGGGACATTTACTAGAAATAAATAATACAGATTTATTTAAGGGCCTCGGAGTTTGCTGACTTCAGTAAACACAGGTAAAAACCCAGAAGTGTTCCAGAGGAAAAGCAAAGTCCTTATAGTAAAAAGGACATTCTTGAGAGTTATCGTTCCTGCATTCTTACCCTAGGTTAGTCCAGGGCAGTTATCAGTGAGACATCAGGCAGTCTGGATGATGGATGCCAAGTGGTCCAGAAGATGGGCACCAGGAGATCTGGTCATGTCCAGTGGTCTGGATTATGGATGTCAGGCGAATGTATATGAGAGTACTTTAGGGAGTATTCATGTGTTCTGGATACTGAGTCCTTTAGAGGGTAATCAGAGGGTTATCTGGGGGTTCAAATATATACTTGTATCTTGGCATTGACATAGGACTGCAAAGTTAAAAAAAAACTTTAAGTTCCTAGGCTAGTTAGAACAAGGATGAAGTGTTTCCTTATGCCTCAGCCTTCATAATGTTAATAATTTTAACAACTTTGTTAAAATGACTGCACTTTATGTATTCCCTATCTTTACTCTCCTCAAAGTCTTCAACAACAGTAGGGGGTTTGTCTACTTCTCCTTTTAGTTTTATCAATTTTTGTTCCATGTACTTTGATGTTATTTTGTTTATAACATCTTTGATGTTTATTTGGTTTCAAATACATTAAGGATTGCCATGTCTTCTTGGAGAAATTCACCCCTTTATCATTATATACTGCCCTTTTTATCCCTGATGATATTCTTTCTTCTGAACTCTGCTTTGTCTGAAATTAATATAGCTACTACAGCTCCCCCTGATTAATGTTGGCATGGTATCTCTTTCTTCATTCCTTCACTTTTAACCTATCTGTGTTTTTATATTTAAAGTGGCTTGCTTATAGATAGCACAGAGTTGGGTGTCGGTTTTTCTATGCTGTCAGTCTCTCTCTTATTATTAATGTATTTAGACCAATTAACATTAAAATTATTATTCATGTAGTTGGATTAATAGCTACAATTTTATAACTGTTTTCTATTCATTGTATTTGTCTTTTTTCTATTTTTCCTTCCTTTTTTATCTGTTCTTTTTGTTTTAATTGAGCACTTTATGATTCCTCATCTCTCGATATATCAATTATACTTCGCTTAAAACATTTTTATTGGTTTCTCTAGAGTTTGCAATAACTACTTACAACTAGTCATATCCATTTTATTTTATTTTTTTAATTTTTATTTTTTTTAGATTTTATTGGGGAATTGAGGAAGAGGAACAGACAAGTTGCTGTCCTTTTGCTCTTCAGTCTAGTTGTGGAGGATGT